AATAAATCAATATTAAAACTAATCAAATATACTATAATTGTGATTTTAAATATTTATTAATTTGAAAAAAAACGAATAATAAAATTACTTTCAAAATTTTAACCTTTTTAAATAATATATTAATGAAAATTGAAACCATTTTATTAACAATAAAAATACTTAGAATTAAAATATCAAATATATATAAGAATATAATAGCAAACAAAAAGTATATAAAGAACTAACAAATTATAATTTAAAAAGAAATAGATTTATTAATTAAAAATAATATTTAAAAAGAATTGATTTTATTATAAAAAAATAATTTAATTTCAATAAAATAGATATTTATTATTAAAACAAAAAATAATAAAATAAAGTAATTTAAAATCAAATTGATAATTAAAGAATTCAATCAAGTTTTAAAAAAAGATTATAATAAAACCTTTACTCCTACAATTTATTTTAATACTCTTTATCTTTTCCTTATAATTATTATAAAAAAAGATTTTGAATATTTTTATTTTGATATTAAAAATATATTTATTAAATTATATTTAAAAAAAGAAATCTATTTAATAATTTTTTAAAATATTCAAATTTGTTAAAATCGTATATTATATATATTTTAAAGCCTTTACAAATTAAAACAAACTAATAGAGATTAGAGTTTTTTTTTAAAAAAAGAATTGATTAAAATAGATTTTATATAAAGCCTTATAGATTTATATTTATATACTAATTATTTATAATAATTATTTTTTTTAATTTATATAAATAATATTATTATTATTATTATATAAAAATAAGATATTTAAATAGTTTTATTAATAATTTTTCAGTTTAATTTAATATAAAATCTAAAAAAAATTATAAAATCTTAAAAATATATTATTATTTACTAATAAATCTAAAAAAGTATTAATTATAAATCAAGAAGAATATCTAGATATAATACTTATTTATTTCAAAATCTTCTATAATTAATATACTTTAAGAAAAATATCAATTTTAGATTATAACTAATACAATTAATACTTCCAAATAATAAACTTATTAATATGAATAATACTATAAGTAATTAGTAATATAATTTATTCTATAATTTATATTAAATCAAATATTATATTTAGTTTTAAAAGATTAGTATAAGTTATATTGAATCCTGTTAAATATTATAATGTTGTATTCAAAATCTTATAAATATTTGAAATTAATTATTAATTAGAAATTATATTTTAAACCTAAAAGAATTTAATTAAATATTTATAAAGAATATAATTTCCCATAATAAACTATTAAAGTATATACCAATACAGATTAAATAAATAATAGAATTAATTGAAAAAACATTTTTAATAAAATAATAATATTTTATAATAGATTAATCTTATAAATAAATAAAAAGCAGATATTTATAATTATATTTAATATAAAAACTAAATATATTTCTATAATAATATTTATTAAATAAGAATAATGGGTAATTCAATTTTTAAAAAATTTAAAATAATTATAGTATATCAAAAATAATAATAAGATTTAAATATTAGAAAATAATCAAAAAATATTAATACTAACCAAAAATCTTTATTTATATAAATAATCAAAATATATTAATATATATTATTACTTTATTTAAGATTTTATAGAAAAATATTTAATTAATATTAATTATATTAATATAAATAATATAATTATAAATAAATTAATAAAATTATATATAAAAGTAATATTTAAAAGATTTAAGAATATATTAGAACTTTAAAACTAACTATAGAAACTAAGAGAGTAAGCTTTCTAAAGAAGTATTGGAAGTTGTAGTATATGTACTATACTATTATACATATATTACTTCTACTTCATAGTTAGATTTTACCTTAATACAATTAAAAAATCTACATAGTCAATATTATATACATTCCACTGGCCTGCTCCTTTATTATAAACATATATATATATAGGTGGTATGGAATTTAATACTATTAAAGATATTCAATATTATTTTAATATTGAATATTATTGATAATATATAAAAATACGAATCTTTGATTAGTACGAAACAAGCCGTACGCGAATTTGAGGTTATTTCTAGATTTCAATAATATTAAATTATATATTTAATTGAATTATTATTAATTGATAATAGACTATTAATATTATTGAATATTTTTTTTTCTTTTTTATTACCTTTGAATATAAATATTGATAATTGAGTAGTATTTTTATTATTATCTAAGCTTTATTAGGATTAGTTTTAATTTTTAGTATTATATTTCAATTTTCCTATATATCTTTATAGATATTCATTTTAAGTAATATCTATAATAATGAGTTTTCGATTATCTAATATGTATTATCTATTGTATCAAAAACTTCATATGCGTCATTGTTTTATTGCAGTATATTATTGCTTATACTAGATTTACTATAACACCAAAAAATTAACATTCAAAGTGTAGTCATTGTATTCTGGATGTGTCTATGGAATATAAGAACATATCAGAGTCAATATTATGATTTCTATCGATATAGTAACGTGTAAGTCTAATACAATAGGGTCTTCTGCGCTGTAATACAATGTATAATATACTAGGAAGAAAGAAAGAAAGAAAGAAGGGGGTGAAATTATACCAGAGATTGTTCACATCATCAAACTCAACGGATGTTGTATAGACTACAAACATTTGGGGGTGAAGCCTCGAGATTGGCTGAGAATGCTGGTAGGGGCTACCCACCAGCAGTTGATTGATCAGCTTCGCGAACTCACCTATTCCCTTGAGTAAAGTGATAATACTACACAGAGAATAATCTACCGCGTAAGTAATGGTATAACACTACTTTATAGATTTAACTGATTTCAACTCAGCAACTGGAAATTGTGATGGTTTGAGCGGGCGAGGACCTGAAGATTTTCAAGCTTCTGGCTTCCTGGAAGATTTATTTCACGGTAGAAGAGCTCTCCAAAGAAACTGGTGCTACAACTGTCTTACTTGGCCGCATCTTGAGGTATTTTGCTTCAATGAAGCTTATCAAGGAGACTGGAACAGACCACTGTGCCCCTACGAAAATCACAAAAACACCCGCCGCTCCAGGCAACACAGCTGGTGTCTCTCATCAGCAGATACCGGACTTCTCTGTCTATTAGGATCTGAATCCTGATATTTTGGTAATTCAATCTTGTCGGACTTATGTGGGCTGATCTTCCAAGCTTCCTTGCGAACCACAATTATCAGGCTGTAACTGATGGTAACGATACATACTGGCATTGTACTAATAAATCAGACAGGCATATATTTAGCTGGATTGGACGTCACCCTGATGTAGCAGCAAGTTGCAGAAAATAGATGGCACAATATATGCAAGGCCAGAAGACGTGTCTGGATACTTTCCCCCTAGAAAAAGAAATGTGTGGCTGGAAGCCAACAAGTGGCGAAGACGTGCTTCTAGTCGATGTCTGTGGCAATGTCGGCCCTCTTTTAGATGAATTGAAGGCCAAGACTGCCGGCATCGAAAATCGAATTATGTATTTTGCAGGAACTTCCCAAAGACAGCACCCTGCGATCTGGGAAAGACCAGCGATGCGATACTTATGCAGCTGCGGAGAATCCTGCTGTTCAAATCACGGTGCATGACACTAACACCTCTCAGTCCTTCAAAAGTATGTATAATTCCGTGGTTTGGCCAAGAATTCTAGTTATTTATCCGACCTAAATGTCAAATTTTACTACATTCGAAGTGAATTCCTCGGCTTTCAAAATGAAAAATGCCGCTCTATTCTAAGCAAAGTTGAATGAAAAGATCTTCCCTGACCCCAATGTCAATTGGCAGATGACCCAAATTGATATTTCAATGATGGCATGTTCTGCCTCTCTTGAGCGAACAGAGGCAATGTGGGGTGCGTTTCGTGATTCAGTTGGACTCAACGTTGTAAGAAAATATTTCTATCAACCTGAGTTTTGTGACGGTGTACTGGTCGCTGAACGCAAGTGAAATGCATCTTTGGAACAATTCTTAGAAGGGACGAGGAAATCAGGTAGGGAAAACCAGATATCGAAATCAACTGGGTAGCTAGCCAGTTTCAGAGTAGAATGAAAAAGGCCGTCTGGAATAAGGATAATTTATTAATTAGCTTCTACGTAGTCGTTCGTGTAAGGATGGCGAGGTAATCCACATGATAATCGACAGCTGAATATTTGCTCATCTCTTCGAGGCTGGAAGCTTGGAATTCGATAAAATCTAACATGATTTTATAAAAGTATAATTTTCCTTTAATTTACGCATATCTGGTGCTGGATACGCATATCTGATCCTGATCTATGAACATGGCCGAGTTAGATGTAGGAAGGTCACGTTACCATCATTTAAATGGGTCAATCAGAGCTTTCAAATACGGGTAGTCCGGCCTTCCCTTGATAGGGATTTTGCCCTCAATTCCCACAGCCTACAGCCAGGAAGTTATTGGTGTTTGATAGTCGCACAAACTAGCTATTTCTGCTACGCACAAATTTATATGTCAGCCATCTTTCACACTTGGGCAAGGAGCATTGATGGAAATCTTGGCATTAATTGCCTCGACCAAATGTCTACTGATCTATACTATATTTAGTCTAGTTTCATATTCATCACTCCAACATCACGTGATCAAAAGACACGGCAAACTTTCTTTCCACGACACGCCACACGTCAAAGTACTAGGTGCCCAGATGGTTGCGCAACATTTATTGCAATTGTACAAAACACAGTCTCTCCATCGCCATCGCTATATCAATCATCTCCATCGCACGATATTTATTACGACTTTACGAGTACATCCACCCTGGCGGTGGTTACGTTCTTCACCTGTAGGTAGGCGGATCTCGAGACTCCTCTTCTAGGATGGCTAGGTACCACCTCTTGTAGGCTGATCAAATGTCACCTGTAGCAGACGGATCTCGAGACACCTCTTCTAGTAGGATAGCTAAGTATCACCTCTTGTAGGCTGATCAAATGTCACCTGTAGCAGACGGATCTCGAGACTTCTCTTCTAGTAGGATAGCTAAGTATCACCTCTTGTAGGCTGATCAGATGTTACCTGTAGCAGACGGATCTCGAGACTTCTCTTCCAGTAGGATGGCTAAGTATCACCTCTTGTAGGCTGATCAGATGTTACCTGTAGCAGGCGGATCTCGAGACTCCTCTTCTAGTAGGATGGCTAAGTATCACCTCTTGCAGGCTGGTCAAATGTCACCTGAAGTAAGGAGACTGAGTATCTCCTCCCTACAACGAGCTTGGTTTCTAGATAAATATATTGTTGAGGATAGTATTCCAAGGCTTCTCATTCTGCTCATATTGGTCGCATCTTATTACCTATCAGAGTAGCGCTAACAATTGTCTTTGCAGGTGTCCCATCTTCAATACATTATAACAACAGGACGCTATGGCTTCTCGGACGTTCGGCTGTACAGAGGTGCCCGTAGTTATTAAATGGGTGGATGCTGGACAATACAGCTATATTGGCACACGAATTCAAAATCTACGAATGAATATACACCTCGGCACGCACGAAAGTCCCAAATTGCTCTTTTGGTTCACAGTAACAGTTGGAGTTACAGCGAGCCCTGAATCCTCTACGATACGTACAAAGTTGCTCTACTTCGTTATCCAAGCTAGTTTGCTTGGTTACAACGAGAATAATACATGTCTCTCATTAGAGACTCCAAACTCTGATTGTTCTCCCGACACTAGCGCTGCTATACGAGAGGCTGGCATATGTTCCGACTATGCCTCTGTTTCCCGAATATGCTTTCAGCTCCACAATCATGGCACAGTGTTCATGCCTCCTACTGAGAAGCATGCCTTTACCCCTGCATCGGATAATGTATTACAACTATTGGCTAGTATGGAGTCCCTCTCCCAGGCTAAGCAATTCTGGGTATATACATCGCTTGAAGGTTCGCTTCTTACGAATATTTGGAAAAGGATCGATCGAATACGTAAGGGAACTTTTACAGGCGACTTTACGACTCAGAGTGTATATAAACGTGGTATGGTGTGCGACAAATGGACGAATTTCAATCAATTTGTGAGACAGGAAACCCCGGCAAAACATAAAAGCAATCTTCATGGTGTAAAGCATAACTCCGACGCTCTACCGCTATATACCAGTGAATGTCAGGGTGCTGGAGTGGAATACACAGGTAATTTAGTAGGTGACTTAGTGGTAAGCAATAGCGCTGACATTCCAAAAATAAAGATGATGATCGAATACACGAATCTAGTAGAATCTCTGGCAAACATTCATCTTCCCATGATCTTGATCAACAGCTTGTAGATACAGAGTCCGATGAAGAATTGTCTATAGGGCGGAAACGCAAATACAACAAGATATCTTCCGATACCCTAGGCAACCTGAAGAACTTCAATAGTGCTAGTATACTTGATTCTAGTGAGCTATTCGTTTCGTACCTCTTTCTCTCAAGATTCCTCCAGTACTGATAACTATGCCACCTAGATAAACCGTGCTTAGATCGACAAAGCTCTAGAGTTCGGTTTGCCAAGGTTCGTAGCGAAGTTCCGGGCTATCTTGAAAAGCAATTGGCTACCTTTATGCGTTGGGTGTTAGAGATCGACTTACACTTGGAGAAGGATTGTGAGCAGATCTTCTCAGATCTTGGCGGGGCAGTATCTTGTGGAGACATAACTAGATTTAACGAAATCAAGACAGATTGCATGGCGAATATTTACATTACATATGCTAAGAGAGGATCTAGATGGGTTTTAAGGAATACTATCTGAAAAAGACATTGCTACAACTCTAGTTTGAGCTATAGTTATAGTATTTTCGATACAAACAATAACACTTTGTCTCAAAAGAACTATAAGAGCAGGATACAATTTATTCTCAGAATTTATAACTATAGAATTGAGAGCCTAATGTTTACAGATAGACAGAGTCCTCAAGTAATCCCACATCTATACTATAATGGATAATGGTATATCGATAGATCTATAGTAGTTTTGCTTGTGTAGATGATGGCCCAATTTTTGACGATTTTATCCACGTTTCGCTTTTCATGTGAAATTGATGTGGTTCGATGTCCATCTGTTTATTCACTTGACTTAAATTGTATATTACAAACTTTCCTCAGCTTGCCATCTGGCTTCTGGTCCCTTGAATACTCAGCTCCCCAAGTGCCTTTGAGGCAGAAGCTGGAGATGAAGATTTCAGATACCCGCCATCGCAGAGAGCAGTTCTCATAGCTTGATAGATCATAGCTGGTTCGTTGGTCGGCAAGATCCTTTTCTCGATGTGGAGACTATCATGATAACATTTATAAGGGTTCTCAACTTCTGCAAATATGTGTATGGAATGTCGGTTGGGTACTGTACAAGCTTCGTTATTGTTCGCTTCGCAGGGCGCTGATCATTGCAGAATTGAGACTTGCTGTGATCGATCGAGGAATACTGATTTTTGTGTCTGATTCATGATGGGAAACAATCCTTGGAAAAAGATAGTATGCCTGATGAAATTTTGATCCTTGCAGACCACATCTCCTTCTTAGTTGTCTCCTTCTTAATTGAGCCAGTGATCAGATTGGCGATGTAAACCGGGTTGATAGCCAACCCTTATTTGCTTTTGATTTCTTTGGTAGTAACGGTCCCCTTCTTTCTAGATTTGTATCGTTCTCGTCGGGCAGCAGATGTCCGTCTACTTGTGATCAGTGTACGTCCACATCGGAATACCTGGATGCTCCATATATGTAGGTTAATGCCGGGCGAGTATAGGAGCAGGGGCCAGAGCGATGTGACGATTCGCATACTGAGAGAACAGTGGACTCTCCACAACAATCCAGTTTTTATAATTCTCCTGTTCTTGGACAAGTTCTCGAGTATGCCACCAGTGGGTGCATGGATTGACGGGACACTTCCGAACTTTCGAAATTTCTGATAATTTCATCCTTCAATTGTTTGATATCAAAATTTATGATTTGATTGTTTCAAATCCAATGAATTGGTGTAACAACTTCCAGGATATCTGATTCGATATATCAAGATATATTCACAAGTCCATTTTTTTAGTGTCCCGTCAATCCATACACCCACTGGTGTGCTGGTCTCTTTTTTCTGCCCGAACGGGCTCTACTCCGTAGATCCCATACTGATCCTAATTATTCTGGACTCTTATCGGCTTGACGTTTAACGCCTTCTCCTACAGCCCCCCCTCCCCACCTCCCCCGAGCTAGCAGACATAACAAGATCGACGCTGAGAGCGGGTGAAGTGATCGGCAATTCATTCAAGCGGACGCACGAAGAGTCGATCTCGATTTAGTCTTTCAGCTTTATCCCGCTTTTGTTGTGCGAATAAAAATCACATATTCTACCGACCTATATACCGTTTCTATAATACTTTCGAGGGCTTGTTTTGATTGAATGCTGGGCCCATGCGTAGAGTAAGAGTACTTTCTTGTATCTTTTTGTGTACAAAAACATCCCCAAGTGTGCTGTGTTCCGGTACAAATGCAATCTAACTTAGTATGATATCATACTGACAACACTCCATTTCCCAATGACTGTAAGACCACGGCTAAGGAACACGAAGCAGCAAAACGAGCCCTGCTTACTTCCCTTACATGAGGAACTGCAAACCGTGGTTCACCATTTCGGCATTTCTGCGGAGAGAGTCTTGGCTGACGGTTTTAACGAGGGCGTGGGGGAAGGTGGGGGTCGGGTTCTTCGGACTCTGAAGACAGGTTACTGGACTGGGTGAATAATGAGTTGTATTTTCTAGATGGGTCCCGGAGAGTTTTTAGCAGTTCGCAAGCTTTTTAGCAGTTGACAAGCTTTTTAGCAGTTGACAAGCTTTTTAGCAGTTCGTAAGCTTTTTAGCAGTTGGCAAGCTTTTTAGCATTGTTGCGAGTTTACTCAGCTTATTTTAAGTACTAAGCAATCGAAATAGGTAGTAAATAAAATGATCTCTCCAGAGGTCCGGGTACTCCACTTTATTACCAATCTACCGTAGAGTAAACCGCCTCAAAATAAGAATATTTGATAGATATACTAGGCATTTAATGAATAATCTATTGAAATAACGAATCAAACAACTCCGGTGCTTACTGCAACCCTAACCCACGATGAGCTTAGATTACTAATCCTTGGTAGGCTTTTTCGAATTTTCCGAATGAACACGCGTACAGGAAAGCAAACCCTAACCCCTCTCTAGATCAAAATACGAGCCATCCTATCACATCACCAAAAATCAACATCATTTCATTATTCAAAATTAGATAAGCAGCAGCAGCAGCAGCTAGTTCTTGACAGCTTCATCCCCTCCCCTCTTCTCTCCTGCCCACCCTTTAGCGTTCACCTTCCTTCTGCGGTACAATACGAAAAGATAAATACACTTTATACTTTATGCGGATCAGCTTTCCCGTTCCTAGACCCGTACGACGTTGTAGGCGAAGTCTAGTGTAGAAAAGAAACTTTCCACATATTAACCTTAAATTTTCCGAAGAGACTAGGCTCACCGTGGAAACAGGGTACGCCCCTACAATATCTTGGTAAGGCTGCGAGTGATTGATATCTCAAGGGTTACTGATTACGTAAGTATAATAAAACCTTTCCATAAGAATACTAGTTCTTATAGTCTTTTCTAAAGATATACAGAAATATTCTTATATAGAGATTCTACCTAATTTCAATATAATAATAATTTCCTTTTAATTGATTCTGAGTAGATTAATATCGTAATATTTTTTAAGTTTCAATTAAATCTCTTTAAAATTCTAATCAATATTTGATATATATTTATTATATAATAACTAATTCTGTAAATTCTATTGATTCAATAAGAATATATATACTAATTGAAGATTTATATAATTGATTCTAAATAATGAAAATATTATAAATTTATTTCAAGGTTAATAAAATCACTTAAATCTATTAAAATTTATATTTTTCTTTTCAGAAATACTATTTTAAATATATTAGGAATGATTTATTTTATTATTAACTTATAAAAGTATAAATATTTTGAATGATTTAAAAGAATAGATTTATTATATAAAATCTATTCATTTATTGTTTTCTAATAAAATCTATTCAAAACTTATTAAAAACTTCAAATGTTTTAAAAGCTTAAAAATTATAAAAGTTAAAAATTTGAATAAAAGGATTCAAAATTCTAAAATTTGAAGAGGATGACTGAATATTTAATAAAATTAGTAGAAGCAGTATTGGAATTTTAGAAAACAGCAACTTTTATTAAAAATGAGGCTTACAAGACTTATCTCATCAACCTCTATTTAGAGGAGATACAAGCCTACCTGTGCACTTACAGTCGCTAGTCAAAAAAAGTCTATATAAAACACCACATCCTCAATCTTTCAGAGTTAAAGTAGATATTCCTGAAAGCTACTACCTCATCTCGCTATATTATAGTATCATGTCCTCTCAACCATTTACGAAGAAAGTTATCGCTCTCACAGGCTCAGCTTCCGGCATCGGCCTCGAAACAGCAAAGTTACTTGCAAGTCGTGGAGCGAGATTGTCACTTGCAGATATCCAAGAAGACAAATTGAAGGAACTTCAAGCGCAGCTGGAATCAGAGTACCATGTGGACGTGATTATCACTAAGGTCGATGTAAGAAAGTTCGAAGAGGTGGAAGCATGGATTAACAAGACCATAGACAACTTCGGAACGCTAGATGGCTCAGCCAATCTGGCTGGTGTTGCTCCGAAGTCTATTGGACTGAAAGGCATCGTCGAACAAGACTTGGACGAGTGGGAGTTTGTCTTGGGAGTCAATTTGACCGGGACAATGAACTGTTTAAAGGCTCAGCTGAAAGTAATGGCTAGCAACGGCTCAATCGTGAACGCTTCCTCAATTCGGGGAACATCTGGAGCAGCAAACAATGCCTCTTATTCTTCGGCTAAGCATGGGATCATCGGGCTCACAAGAACGGCAGCAAAGGAAGTAGGTGGGAAAGGAATTAGAGTGAATGCAATTTGTCCGTAAGTGATCTTTGCTCTATCTTATCTCCGCCATGACGTTTCTGTTTTCTGAAGACTAGCTTTAGGGGCCGTATTTCAACACCAATGCTAAAGACTGCGGAAAACTTGATTGGTCTTCACCTGCAGCCTGGAACTGCAAATTACCCACCAATTGCACTGGGGAGAGACGGAGAAGCTAAGGAAGTTGCTCAGCTGGTCGCATTTCTGTTGAGTGATGAGTCGATGTACATCTCAGGAGCTGACATTAGCATTGATGGCGGATGGAAATGTTAGACGAAGTAGATGACCGAGCTAGTTGTGTGCTCTCGCTCGAGATGTTCATGAGGAAGAACAGCTTGTAATCTAGAATCTTACTTCCGAGCTCTACACTCTTTTAGTGAACTCCATCATTAAAATTGAGATGTCAAGTTTTGTGGATTGCTGCCAGTGAAAGACCATATTCTGCCCCTGCCCGAGAGAACATGTCTATGTGCATGTATCTACAAAAGATCGTACACGGCCAGGGCTAGAGCCGTAGACGTCATATGCCAGGCTCACTCACTCCGCTTCTGCTACTGCTCAGCACAAGGTGCGTCCTAGTCCCTCCGGACTTTGAGACTATTCTGGCTATACCGTATAAACTCAGTAGAGTGCAAAAATACAAGTGGAAAAAATGTCAGATTTCAACTAGTCCGGCTGAAGGAAACTACAATATGCTAGGCTATATGCTGCTTGGTAGAATCCGAGTCTACTGAGTTTATACAGTACTTGGCATTCATCTGTATCATTCACCTGCAGATTTAGATTTCATATAGCAAAACCTCTCCATAAGAATCCCCTCTATAAGAATAACCACTCTATAAGAATATATTGTTCGATTTCAAAAAGAAATTAGATTTGAAAATAATCTATATTCTTAAAATCCTTCTATTAGAATATTCTTTTAATTTTCGATTTCAAAATCATATATATATTCTTACTAAATTAATAGAATTAATAGAATTGGTTATTATTAATTTTATCAAACATTCAGTTACTCTGTTTAAATTTTCGAATCTTAAATTCTTTTATTCCATTTTTTATAATTTTAATGTTTTTAAAAGATTTTAAAATAGATTTTATTAAAAAGCGATTATTTAATAAAGTTTATATAACAAATCTATTATTTTGAATTATTTGAAATACTTTATATTTTCATAAATTAATAGTAAAATAGATTAATCTTAATAATATATTTTGAATATAAAAATAAGGAAAAGATCGATCGCTTTTTAATGTATTTTATAATACTTACGCCTTTAACCTCCGTAAACCACGCGATTGAAGTTCAATCTTTGTCCTCCGTAGGACCCTCAACTTCCAATGGAATTTAAACACTTCACTGTTTATTTTGGTAGCAAAAGGGTTATATTGATCAAGAGCTTATCAGTCTAGCTACTCTTGGGTATCGGCTTTCTCTAAGCATTGAAAATGCAGAAAGACAAGTAAAGCCATTACCACAAGGAGAAAATGTATAGAAGAGTTAAATCAATTGGGCTATCAAAATATCAAACTACCAAAGCAGCTCAAACCAAGTGGGAAAAAGAAAAAACAACGGAGAGCCCAAAATTCCTGCTTGAATACCGGATTCACCAAACTATTCTATCTAGGAACCTCTTTTAACAAGACCCACAAATCGGGCTTGTTCCATGTCTGATAAACTTTCATGTACTTACCCGCACCATCCATATCCCAGAGTTTATTGGTTGACCCAAGTTCTCCCGTTGTCACCAGTGACATGTCAAAGTTCCATAGTAAACGGGAAGTGATAAGCCTCATTTCGAAAAAGGACAAATTCTTCCCTATGCATCCCCTAGGTCCAAGACTGAATGGCTGAGAAGCGTTTAGTTTGTCGTTTACAAACCTCTCATCACCGAGCCAACGTTCCGGGATAAATTTTTGAGGGTACTTGAAGTTCAACGATGAGTTTATGGCAGCCCAAGGTGCTACAGCGACGGTGGTTCTACCGGGAACAAAGTGTCCATCAATGACAGAGCCACCCGGAGGAACGATTCGCTGCTGATTTGCAGGCGCTGGCGAATACAAACGAAGTGCCTCACTAAGTGTTGCGTGAAGGTAGGGCAAATCTTTGACCGTTTCCCAAGTTATATCATGCTCGGAGGTGAACCTTCCTCTAACTTCGTCTATAAGACGTTTATAAACTTCAGGGTGAGTACAGATGAAATAGGTCCAACCAGTGAGTAGACTCGCGGTTGTTTCTGTCCCTGCACTTATGAGCAGCACCATGTTAAGAATGATTTCTGTTTGCGATAACGAGTTCTTCGCCTCCTTGTTCTTCAGAATGTGGTAAATGAAGTCCTTATGGTCACGATCTCCATCTGCGAGGCGGCGGAGCGTCTTCTCGCGAGAATTCTGGAAATGTACTTTTCTCCATGATGCAGCTTCGGATGGGATAAGAAATTTCACCATCAACTTCTGAAGCCAGGTATTCACACCCGCTATTCTACGTATGGATTGGTCCCATGCGGCAGATTTGAAGACGTTGATAACAGATGTGGACCACTCTGTAGCCCCACCTTGATCTAGACATCCAAATGGCTCTGCGAAGCAGAGATCACCCATCATATCAAAAGTTGTGTAAGTGTCTATACACCTCATCTATCAGTCAAAAACATCGGCATTCGATCCAACGAAGTATCACTTACACCAATTTGAAAAGTTTATCGGTCGATTCTCTGCAATAATTTTCTTCAACCGTCCCACGAGTTTATCGACATGGCTTCGCATAATTTCTTCTTGTTGCAATAATGCTGTGTTGGAGAAGACATGTGCCAAAGCTCTACGCTGCCGAGTATGAGCTTCATTTGGTGCCAAGCTAATACCCGTCTGGCCGTCAAGAGGAGAAACCGCCCCTATGAAAATCGGACTTTTTTCAAAATTGGGACCGTTTTTCTGCCTTATATTAACCGCTATGCATTGATTCATGGTTGAGAATCACCCACCTGAATTCCATAAATGTCATCCCACGCACGATCGCCGATAAAGCTGAGCTCGTTTGGGGCAACTCTCACAACAGGACCTTAATTTGTTTTAGTAGGAACTCATTTCCCCGAAAGATGGAGTAAGGTGCAGGAATAGTTACTCACCATATTTTTCATGGAGCTGCCGGTAATACGAGTGCTGTTTCCCAGTTGCAATAACCCATGAGCCGGGTATTTCAGATATCCTATTGAACCATGGCCCTGGGAAGGCACTGAGCGGGTGAAAGAAAAATTTCCAAAGGACTTGTGAAATAAGGACTACCGTGACCTGGTAATGTTAAGGAATTGACCGCCCTATCGTATGAATAGACTCACTAAAACCGCAACGGTTGTTTTGAGTGCCGTCAGATCTTTGAAATCGAGCAGCATAATGTATTTTTCAGACAGGTCTTTAATGCTGAGCAGCATGATGTCCTTGTGGGACAAGCAAATTTCATAAGAGTGATTATGAGTAGTGATTTATCTGGGGAGTGTGTTCGTATTTCGAGAGTTGTGAAAAAAAAAACGAATAAGCACTGCAGGATTGAGGAGGATGGATTTTCAAACAAATATGCTTGTAGGAAACTCTAAACTTCAGTTCAACGTCAGAGATGGGGCTTGCGATTGATTTGAAGCAAACTCAAACCCGTAATATACTTCGTATCTTGAAATGTTTCGCGGGCTTGGCAACTTTCGATCTACGTTGTTTTCTCCTCTAATCTTGGGAGAATAGATTGACCGATATTCCTACTATTTGAATGTCTCTGCTACGTATACAATCTAATTCTTTCAATTAATTTAAAAATTATCGAGAACTTTGATTTATGAGATATCTAGCTAGTAACTTAATCTTTAAGTAAGTGATAAGATATGAGATTTTTTAAACAAGTTACAAAATTCATTATGGTTTTTTTTTACAAAACGATTAGTCTATTTTTTTTTTAGAATCTCTTAGGGGAGATTTTTTTTTATCATCTATGAAAAGAATAAATCATTACATTCGTTAATTGATTGATTTGATTAATTAAAATATTTTTTCATTATTAAAAGTCATTAATTTATAGCAAAGGGGAATTGTTTTCTTTAAATTATTTTATTTCTATATTGCTAGAAGAATATAGATTAATTAAATATTTAAATATATTTAAGTATTCAAATCCTTTTCAAATACGTTAATGTAAGTTTTATGTAGGTTTATAAAAGTATATTATTAATATTCAAAGTTGTAACAAGATCAATATTTTGAAAGTTATATACATAGCAGGAACATGTATATAGTGGGGATATCGCTTATCTACGAGACACTCCGCAATGAAACCCCGCAAAGTCCGAACGGAATAATTGTTTCTAGGGTTGTTAGACCCATAGTGGGGGTCTATACGTAGCACTGTGTAATGGTACGTGCACCCTCATCAAAACAACGCGTAGAGAGCATTGGTCAATTGTGGCCTGTTTTTTCTCCTACGTATAGGGGGTGCAAACTTCGATCCAGGTCTTACTTCGCTAAAGAACGAAAATCCACTTAATGTCCACTCGTACAACCCCTAGTAACCGCCTCGTAATTGTTCCACTAACTAACCTTCGCTCAGGGGACAGAACAAGATTTTTCATGAATCGTTATCTATATGCCTCTAGTTAAACTTTATGTGAGTGTGTCATTTCGAACATTAATACTGCATTGACAACTCACTCGTTGATCACTCATCATCTCATGTTGTTCTGATTTAACTCTTTTCTTGCATGCGAGTTCTCGAAAGTGTAAGTGAGAACCCTACTATCTCGGCTACTGTGAAACTAAAATCTCCATGATCTACTAAATTTCTCTCTAAGAGGAAGCTAGTTGATCTCTCGAAACTTGATTGTGCTTTGTCTCCCCCGATGTAGCTGAGAGCGGGGGCGCAGGGGTGCGAAAGCGATAATGAGTTCCGGAGTGAACTCTTCTTCCTTCTTCATTTTCATAGTCATATCAAGTTCTGGAGATCAAAATCGCTAGACGGCGTGTTCTAATCTCTGCAAGAACATGTGGGGATATATGGCACCTTAGCTACGATGTATTTATGCCCATAGCAAATAAGTGAGGCTGGAATTTTCCAATCGACACAAGAATTTAGAAAAATGGACCAGGGGAGAGATATATGCAATCTGAACATGATGATTGAATCTTAGACTTAAAAGGAAAGTCATTGGCGAGTCTCCGAAGCAAATTAGTAGTCAAATTTCACAACAGGTGGCGCCTTCTATCGAACATGATAGAGTACCGCTGGAACGAGGATTGAGATATGGAAAACAATTACTGAAGAGCAGTTCTATTGTACTTGAATAATTCATGTAACTATGAGATAGCTAAACTATACTGCTATGAACATTTGATTGAGATTGAATATTCAGTGAAACTCCTATTGAGCTATTTTGATTCTGCACCCTCACTTTCAGTAACTTTAACAAGCATGTTTGACTCGAGAAAGACTCCATAGCTGAGGACATCGCAAGGTTTGGCGGGGCTCGTTAGCTGGAGGTCAAAGGCTCGCAATATCTGGGAAAAAATTCAAATTAGCTCAAGATTTGTGAAAAATTGTGATCAGCTACCAACCTCAAAGACGGACTTATTTAGCTCCATGAACGCGACTGTTTTTCCAACACACATGTATTGACCATAACCAAAGGCAAGTTCCACATTGCGCTCCATCTCGCCCCTCTTCGACTTTTCGAGCTCCATGTAACGTTCTGGTCTGTAGACGTCTGCATCATCTCCAAAAAGAGCAGTGGATCTCAACAGAGAAGAAGTATTCATACAGATTGCTGTACCCGCTGGTATGAACATTCCATGAAATTCTTCCCCACCATCTGGGACAATTTTGGGGAAGAGTCCTAGAAGAGGAGGACGCATACGAATGCCTTCGTAAATGACAGCCTGCCGTTAAGTAAGCACCTGTCATGGAGGGAATGAAAAATAGAATGGTATTGTATAGTTGGGATGAAAATGTAAACCAACCTGAAGAAATGGAAGCGACTTTGCCTCTTCGATTTTGATAGGACTTGAAACTTTCCCCTCTGCGACGGCGAGGTTGATCTCAGCCTTAAGCTTCTGATAAACACGAGGACACGTCATTATATGTATCAATGTAGAGCGAATAGCGGATGCAGTGCTTTCTGCTCCAGCAACAATCATGAAGAGGCCTTCGACTTCGCACTCCTGCTGATTAAAACCATGCTTGATGAATGAACCCTGGCACTAGGTTAACTTTTATCAATCTCAACGTAGTCTAGATACTCACAAGCATGTCTTGCTTTTCCTTCGCATCTGGTGCAAACCTCTTACCCACTTGATGCTCTGCTATCCTATGTGTTGTCAGTATAGCCAGAGTCGAATGGAGGGCTCCCACTTACGCCATTAAAGCACCGAATCCAGTTTTATCAGTAGGCTTTGGGCCAAGAACTTTGAGAAAGGGGGGAGAAAAGAGAAACTTTCTAATCCAAGGAGTATCCGCCGATGTTGACATCCGTGGCCAGAGTTCGCGGACTTCACGGAGGAAGCTGTATTGATCGGTTTCTTCCTTGAGGTAGCCGAATTCCTCACCAAAGGCAAGCCGAGTAATCACATCCATGGTAAAGAAGGTCGACAATGGGCCAAGATCAAGCAATGGCTGATGAGGGTTGACAGGATTAGATGCGTATTTCGAGCGCATTAGGCCGATGAGAGTTTGCAGCTGAGCATTAACACCGACCTCCAAGTCAGGCATATCGCGTCCGCTGTATGCTGGCGCAGCTCTTGCTTTTGCCTTGGCGTGAGGGCCTGGCTCCAGTATCGTGAACATGTTGTCATAATATGGATTGAATCGACCGGTCAAATACCAGTCCCCTCGACGGTGGGAGCTGCGAGCTGAAGAAATCTTTTTGATGATATCAGGATCATCAGTAATGATGTCTTTTGGTCCAATTCGTACTAATGGGCCATGTTTTTTGTGTAAGTCGCGGTGAACCCAGTATTGTTTTCCGCTGTAGGTTGTTTTTGCAAGCCAAAGATACGAGAATTTGGCAAGGAAGGATGGTGCTGGTATCTTTCGTAGAGGATACCAAGCTAAGACTGCACTGACAGTGTACCAAAGAACAATAGACCCCAGGCTCAGCAAGCAAACGAACGAGCCGAGACTCAATGTAGAATCAGACATGACTTCTGTTTTTGTGGGAAGGCTAGTCGTCGATGATGTTAAATGATACAAAGATCTCAAAATTTCAAAGGTAGACCATGCAGCAAAATGTTTAGGAGAGTATTGTGAAAGATTGTAAAGGTGAAGAAGGGATTTTATTATCACAGAGGATAAGGTAGTAATATCCTATACGGCACAATCTGAAACTAGAAAATATAATACGTAGTTCGATCTGGCTAAGAGTGCGAAGATCTGTCGAAAACTCAAATCCGCGAGTGGCGATAAACATACATGATGACGACCTGTCAAATGAGAGTCTAATTTCAATAATATTCACAAGAACATCCATCGTATCGTGTTATTAATTGCGGCTATCAAGCTGAAAATGGAAGGTAGCCTCGGCTAAACTTTAAGCTTTCAGGACAATTGCGCCCGGAAGTCTAATTTGAGTTAATCGGGGGTTCATATTTATTCACCCCCTTATCTACAATAAGGGGGCCTCAGCAATTCGTCAACTTTTCAGCAATTCGTAACTTTTAATGATAATTCCTATAATTTTTATTTTTTTAATAATATAAATAGATATTTGTAATCAGATTGAACTAATAATTATTTTGAATATTTCAGAATATCTTTATCTTTTATAAATAAAAAGTTAGAAAAAATTGATCCTATTCACCGGGGAGATTTCACACTAAAAAAAAAAGTTGACGAATTGCTGAAAAAGTGACAAATTGCTGAGGCCCCCTCATTAGTACAATGGGGGGTGAAGAGGATCGTAACCTCCGATTAATGGCGACAAGTTTCAGGTGACGTATACAAGATGCTTGTATAAGCGGAATGATTTTTAATCATATCAGCTCCTTTTCTATGCACATATGCGATATGATTTACAGAGTTATTCATCCGAGTTAATTCACATTCATGTGACACAGGGCTGGTGTTCTCCAGTTTTCAATGTAGAACCTAGAGAAGTTAAAAATGGAACAAAAGAAACCCTTGTGTCACTGAGCACAGACAAACAAAAAGTGGCACTAATCGGAACATTTACGACACGATTGTGTTTGGGTCAGATCTATTGATTGAACATACCCAAGGGGCAATACCCGCCTCTCAGAGGGCTTCCTCTCTTTTGTACTAATTATAGTGACTCTAAATTGTATTGTATTGATGTTGACTCGTATCTAGTAGTAAGAGTTCGCAACCTTACAACCACCTTGTCATTATCTCGGCTTTCTTGCTATAGTAAAACCTCTCTATAAAAATGTCTTCTATAAGGATAAACTCTTTATAAAGATGTATTTTTTAGTTCCAAAAAATTTCAAACCTAAAAAGACCTATATTCCTAAAACCTTTCCAGTAAAATATCTTTATATTTTACAATTCTAGAATTATATATATTATTATTAGACTAATGATACTATTAGCATCTAAGCTATTATATTATATTATACAAAAAATTAAATCAGAATTACAAAATTGTTACAGATTACAGCCTGATCGAATTTAACCGAAACTAGATTACTATTGTATCGAGATCAGCTGAATATCTCTATATAGAGATATTTCTCTAATAGTCGACTCTTTTAAGCAGCCGATTAGTTCTTAGTTGAGGAAAGCGAATGTCCCTGAAAAGCAAATTATCTCCGTGAGATTTTAATGTAGATTTAATGATTTTATTGAAAAATATTTGAGTTTCATAAATAATAACATAGGTTTTAAAGTAATTTTAAAAAAAAAGAATTAGAATTATTGAATTGCTATAAGTCTATAAGATATAATCATTAAATTTTTTAAAAATAGTTAAATTCTGAAGGTTGTATACTAAAAACAATTTCGATTTGTAATAAAATTTAATGATCTTAGTGCTTTTTGTACTCAAAATCTTATAGGGACAATTCGATTTCCCCGACTAGGAACTAGTCGGCCGCTTAGAAGAGCCGACTTTCATACCCTTAGGAATAACCACAAAAAACAATATCCTTATAGAGAGATTTTGCTGTATTTAGAGAATGAGGGATTAAAACTACTTTATCAACTGATAGTACACAACTCCGACTGGTGGAATTACAGATGAGAGAAATGAAGCGTCATGAGATAGCCTAGGAAAGAAGGTTTGAATCATGTAGATCCTTCAGAATTGACGAGAAAAACCATTGCACCTACACAGACGAAGAGGATCTCTGTCCATCGACCGATCGGATGTATACTTTCGACAGAAAGGTCGGTTTCAGGGCCTGGAGATTATACTTTCTGGTCAGCCTTCCCCCTGTACACAGATATTCGTTGACACAATGCGGAGTCTGGGGTTCAGATAAAGAGGTAGCCAATATATGTTCTTGAACAGAAGAAGAACCGATAATGACCCACCCCTAAATGGCCTTGTTTATCTGCTCTAGATCGTTTTTCACATGTGATAGACGATCAGCTAGTAATCAAATTGTGTAGTTGAAGGAAAATAGATTCGGTCTTTGAACCTTAATCTGGAACTGGGCAGAGCTCCATCATCGTAATGTAATCCTTCGCTAAGAGAGGGGTAAGTGGATGTTTGATAGAATCAAAGAACGCAAGAACTCTAGCAAGAATGAAGCTGAATACAACTTCATGAGTCGTGCAATACTCTTATCAGTGATTCGAGCTAGATTACCGAGTGGCAATGAACTACCTCCGGCGCTCTGCTGCATTGGTTCGGGCGATTGGAGGTGCGAGATTTAATTTGAGCTTCTTGTTGTATCTACGTCCTCCAAAGTGCTTATATAGTTGATGAAAGTGCTCTCATCTCGAGAAAATAAACATCAAACTCAGCTTCTATTCAAAACTTCAAACAAAAACTTCATTTTTACCCCAATCTATATCTCGAAAATATGCAGCAAGTTCTTACTCAAACACTTATCGATGATAGATTCATTCATCTCTCAGAGTCGACGAAGAGTGAAGGCCCAAGCACCGACAGTACCAAGATTCAAAGTCACGAGCAGCCTATTCATGATAAAGGCTCCAGCAAAGCAGCAACGGCAGCAATGCCTGTCACCACCAATGTCAAAGAGCATCGGGATACCTGGTACTATCCTCCTGACATTGCGAACGATTTGCAAGCTATCAACCTTCCAGCCGAATTGAAGGGAGAAATCTTTGCGTGCGCATGGGAATACACACGCTGTGTCATTCCTAACTACACAAACTGGAACAGATACGTGGCCTTCATGCGTATCATCATTATGGGCATCATCGCTGAGTTTCGAGGCGAGATGGTTGATGTCACTGCCAGCAACAACATCCTCGGTTATGACTTGGACGCTACTCTTGCGGCTCTATTTGAGGGAACCCCAGGACACAAAGAAATGGCACAAGAGTACAAGACTTTTCTGTTAATCACAGCGGACAAGGCGAGTGATAGACGAGATGGGGAGCTTTTCAGACGTTATGTAAACGCTCTCGCGCAGTCACCAAGACACTGGTTTCGCATGCGGGACTGTGATGCGCTGGCCAGATTTACGATTGCCTCAGCTCTGGCATGCAACGATCTCGACGACATCTGGTTCACCGAAGATCAATTTGAAATTTTGACCGAGATTGGAGACACTCTGTATGATGCAGTGGCTTTTTACAAACATCGTGCTGAAGGTGAGACAAACAGCACATTTGCCTACATGCCGGAGGACTTGCGTATCAAAGCCTACAGTGAGTGTCGCGAGATACTTTGGGCCCTTGACGCTGCCTGGGCACGAAATCCTAAGCTGGCCAATGTTATTAATTTCGTGCGCTTCTTTGGTGGGCCTATACATATGATGATGCGCCGTTACCGATTCGTTGAAGAGAATTTGACAATTGGCAAGTCAGAGAATGACAGAGTCGTTGATCAAACCCGGAAGAACTTTAAGCTCTGGAATCGAGTCGATGCCAACAAAAGGTCTATTCGTAACACACAGCGATATAAGACCCTCATCGCTCGTAGTGAAGAACTTATGTTTCCGGAGCTTGCTGAGTTCCTTGAAATGGGCGGTGACGGGGTTTGTGACAAATGCAAATATCGTGAGTCTTACGGTGCAGAGTTGTCACACCAGTTTGGTGGTGCTGAACTATGCAGCGAATGCAGACTAGCATGGAGAAAATACCTAGAATGTTTTGTAGAGCGTGCGACAAAGGTTTTCCCTGAGCTGAAAACCCATTTTGAGGTTCCAGTTTGAATATGACGATTTTTTTAAGTAGCTTAAGCCTCTACCGTGGCGATATATTAGATTGGTTGAGCTTTTAGTCAGGTAGATAAATTGTAAAGTCATTTCATCAGAGAAATCTTCCACCTGTTTAAGTCCCACTCACTATTTTGAGATGTCTTTTCAGCTTCTATTAGTACTCGCCGCCAGGATACCTACTATTCACTATAAATATACTCTGCCGGCCATTTTATCTCGATATTTCAAGATAAAAAGGATCTAGTTAAAGAGCAAACGTTTGAGTAAAGAATGTAAGATTACATGATTTTTTTCTCCTTTTATATATTATACAGGCCCCGATAAATCCATTGCAGTCTAAACAGATTAAATAAATCAGAACCCGATAAAATCAAATATAACCAAACAAACCTGATAACCAAAACACCCAAATAATCAAAGCATACCAGCTCAATAACAATAACGAGATATCTCCTCTTCAGCTACATTCTAGTGATTGTTGTTGCGAGGGTGTGATCGTTCCCTCTCTTGTCCTCAGAATATTCTATGCTTGAACTTCATTAGCTTTACTCATGTAGCATCAAGAAGAGAGAATACTCATACCATTTGCTGCTCTCTTTTCCTTAACGGCTACCACTTGCTTATGCTGCTCCTTATCCTTCTATATTTGAATTGGTTAACGATACTTACACAGTTTTAGGACGCGAGAATTATCATACTTATACTTCCAATAGAAGCCTTAGTTCGCCTTTGACGTTCCAGGGCAGTTGTAGCACTAAGAATCGCATTTTGTATTTGATCAAGATGTCCTTTCACCGATGTATGATCTTTATATGCGGATGGATTTTCTGTTAAGAATTGCAATCGTGCCTCTGCCACACTAGAGAAGAAAATTTATCAGCATATTTTACATGTAATTAATTGCTAGTTGCATGAGAGCATTTGAGTAGCATACGTTAATGCATCGTTGGTCCATTTGATAGCTAGCCTTTGGAGCTTTTTAGAGTTTTCGGTAGTAGGATCGTCTCTGTAATAACTTTTGTAGTGTTCCCTGAACTCCTTCATATGTCTCTTTCGTTCCTCATCGTACTCGTGATATTGGTCGTGCTTTGAACGCATTGTTCTGCTCCATTTGGCAGGTTAATAGTTCGGTATGTACTTTTGTAAGTTCTGATTATCAATGTCCCAGTTATTTACAAAACTTGACCTCACGGTCGCCGCCTAGTCAAAATGCAAAACAAAAAAGGAATGGAATAAATGCATATATTCGAAGAATAGAATGATGATGAGAAAGAACTAAAATGGGAGTTTGGAAAATCTGTACGTGATAGTCTGTCTGTACGGAGATCGCGCTTACTTTGAAAGAAATTATCGACTATTTCAGGGTACATATGCTATAACGCTCTATAAGAAGTCGGATTTGATCGGGACCTATAAAATTTGATCTCCGCTTTACTCGAATAGGCTCCAGATCGACTCAGGATTTCAAAGCCTGAAGTTCGTAGGCTCGTTGAGCCGAAAAGGTAGATGAGTTCGCTTAAATATACGACATTATACTAAAAAGTACCCAATTAGAGCGTGCAATTGATGTAAGCGCATCGGCCGATGTTACTTTGAGTTTATATTGCTTTTACTCCTTGTATCGTATTCTTTTGGAAGATTCGTTCTGTAATAATAAGGATTAATATCTTAAACTCGTCATGAGTTAGAATTAGAGAAAGCATTAGAGGCGATTGATTCATTCATTCAACGAATTATTTATAAAATATATTGGATTGCTATTGGATCATTGTATTTTGAAGCGCTTTAATCCATTTAAAGGAAACCAACTGGCTCTTAAAGTAATGATCCTTGCTAGCGCAGGACGAATTTTCAAAAAGAATACAGTATTATACGCAGTTGTAAGAGTTCTGGCCCCTGCTCATGACACCCTCCTCATTTTTCAATCACTTTATATTAAATTTAATATTTATTCAATACTATATTATTTATTATTGAAAATTGAAAAATATATTAATAAACAGAACTCTTACTTACTTATTACGTAAAGACTATCGTATAAAGATTGTTACGCCTACTGTTGGAATACGTAAATAAATCATATACTAACCCCTCACCGCCGCACGAAGTGTGTATGTAGGGTAGAACATGTATATAGCGTAGTAATGCCCTCCTCATACGAACCCTGTAGTGATAAAGTTAATATTTATATACAAAAAAAATGTTAGTATAAATCCTTATATAAATATTTAATATATATATTATATAATTCACACTTTTTTTGTTTCTAATGAAATATGTATTTTATTAATTATAAATCTTTTTAATTCAAAATGAGAATTGTCTATTATTAATATTTTCAAAAATTGAAAGAAAATAAAGGTTTTTAGAAAAAGTAAATAAAAAAAAAGTAAATATAAAAGCTAGAAGGAGAAGGGAAATAAGTGGGGGAGTTAGAAGGGGATAGGAAGCGAATATAAAAATTAAAGGAAGAAAAAAGCAAGTAGGGAAACTAAAAGATAGGAAATAATATTAGTCAAAAGTTTAAAGAGGAGGGGGTTCTATATCTTGCTACTCACTTTCAATTTATTCTTTAAGCAAAAGCTTTACTACTATACTATACAATACAGAATATTTTAGTTAAATTAAAAAATTAACTAATTCTAATATATTTAATTATAATTAATAATCGATTATCAATCGAATTCAATACAAGCTTGATAAATAAACTTTTTTACTTGTAAATAGCCTTAGGTTAAAACTTTCGAAAATTTCTCTAAGTCCTCTGAAAGTAAAATTTTCTAATCATATATATATAAAAATCAATCACATTAATAATGTATAATTTATTTTTTCAATATAATATTAACTATTGAAACTTTTAATACAATTAACGAAATAATTTATTCGTCAACCACGGATTCTGCCACTACAGGGGAAGAGGGCAGACAACATAAAACTATATCATTTTAATCCTATTTATACCTTTCTAAGTCTATCCAACACCTACATTCACCAATTACCACTCAATGACTTCTTACCTTCCTATCAAAACTTATATAAAGTTTTTTCTTGATTTTAATTCGCTTATATAGGGCCCATGTTTGAAAGGAAAAGTAACGTAGAATATCTAAAATAAAACAAATTAAAACCCCGGCTCTTTCACCGCAAGCCGATACGTCTACATCCAAACTCATTCTTAATAGAGTTATATATAATTAGTATATAATATATATATTATATAGAGAATTCTCTATATGCAGTAACCGCGTATAGCTATTTATCGATTTCAAAAACTACACTAAAAATCATCATTTTATCCTATTTATATAAATAAAAATAAATCATTAAAATTAATCAGGATTTTAAATATAGTTTTATTATATAATGAAATACTCAGAATTTGTAATTCTTTTGATTTTGAAATATAGGAATATTATCATTTATAAGATTGAATATAAATCAAAAGAAAAGTTCTTGATTTTCGTTTATTTTACTAATAAATCTCAATATTTTCAAATTATACTAACTTTCTATATAGATTTTATAATAAATGAAAATCTTAAAAAAAAAACCATCTAATTTTTATCAAATTTCAATTGAAAATGAATATGATTATATGAAATTTATTAAATAAAATCTATATGATTATTAAAAAATGTATAGGTAATTTATATGAGTCTTAGAAAAGAGGCTAAATACGTATTGAAGGGGGTGAAAAGCTTGATTGTATTTCCTATGAAAGATTAAAGCTATTCAAGGTGCTAGAAAGCTAGTAAAACCATGTTAGAGGGGGCTATAGTATTCACTCTGCTATCTAATCCATCCTAAAAAAGAATTGTACGCCCCGTATAGAAAATCCAGTTATCCCTTGAAATTTAAGGCTAATTGCCTCGAAAATGGAACTAGCTTTCAAGCTAAAAACCGTAATACATCATCCACTTTCCAATCTCCTAGCATATTAAGATCTGAATTGTCTTTCCTGTTGTATTGTTGTGATATCCCTATCGAAACTGAACTATGTGTGACGTACTAATCGAAGAAAAAGAGTAGGTGTAGAAAAGGTAACTTAATAAAGGAAACATTAAAATGACCTGGATATTCTATACTATATAATAGGATCCCCAACTGACATTAAGTCACTACATAGTGTTCTAAAACTTTATAGCTCTAATAATGTCCTCAAAAACATAAACTTAAAATGATATCGTAGAGAGTGATTGTAGATTGACTTGTAGTATAATTGAAAGGTCGAATATCGTATTATTGAAAGGAGGAAGGAGAATTCGAAAAGGGTTTGAATAAAGATTTGAATAAAGGTTTGAAAAGTGATTCGAATAAGGTCTTTAAAAAGGTAATTCGAAAGAGGTTTGAGAGGTTTCGAAAAGTAATGCTATTCGGAGATTGAGAATGGAGAAATCGAAAGATCGAAAGGAAGAGGGATTTCGAAAGGTATTGCAGCCTATAAACTATCAATAAAAATATTACAGAAAACTGTAATATATTGTATTAAAAAGAATAAAGCAATTCGTAATATTTAAAGAGTATTTTTCAAAACTAATACCTTATAACTTAAAAGGAATTAAAAGGAAATTGGAAACCATATTTATTTTATTTCTGTATAGATTACCAGAAAAGAGATTAAATATATATTAAAAAGAATAAAAAGCTTGATTGTATTTCTTATAAAAGATTGAAGCTATTCAAGATACTAGAAAGCTAGTAAAACCACGCTAGAGGGGGCTGTAGTATTCACTCTACTATCTGTCTTGGTGTTATTTTGGTATTCGGCAAACAGCTGTACTCTAGTACTGTAATATGGTTGGTTTTTATAATATAAGCTTTTTATATGCTTTTTATATAACTTATTAATCAAATTTTCAATCAATATTCAATATATTTTTAAATTATTAAGCTATTATATTCAAATTAATACTTTTTGTAGTGTAGTAGTAGTATATATAATTTTGAATAAAAATAAAGATAAAATTCCTATTAATGTCAATTTGATTACTAATCAAACTGATATTGAAGATTCTTTAAGCTTGAAGTTATTTCTAGTTTGCGTTATATTATATTTTATTTTTATATGAAAAAGTTTATACTGCATATATGTCGTGTAGGGATTATATACAGTATACAGATGATGGGAAGGTTTATATTATGTAAGCTAGCTTATACGATCCCTATACGATGTATACTATATATCGGTTACGCAAATTTCCACTAAGGATGCTCAAATCAGCAGCGGAAGCATCAAAAGCATTGACGGCTAGCGATATCATGCTTCCCAAGAATACAACGACAGCGCCTACAAGCTCATTGTCATCACCATTACTATCATCAGTGCTACCAGAACCAGGATCAGTCAGCGATGTTAGATCAATGCGCATCTAGGAAGGCTTCTAAGTGAAGTCCGGCGTAATCTTCTCTCTACACTACAACTTGAAGACCTAGAGAAATCGTTGCACAGCAGCAGCATCGTCATTGACGCTTGCGCAGTTTATCGCACTGGCTTAATTGAATTTCCTGACGCGCGAACACATGATACAGTGATTCACTTCCTTCTATTCTGGTAGGATCGACGCTCTTCAGCCGAGTATTCAATCCTCGATGAAGGCCTCATTGGGAGCGAGATTGTGGAGGTAAGTAACTTTCCGCCATTTGACCGTTACTTTCACGTGACGGCTTGTGTATTCTCGGTGTCCTGAGATACCCTCATTCAGACAACTACTGACTTTCCGACATTTCACAGATTGCTGCATTCCACTCTAATATTATCAAGCCACTCGCACGGCAATATACTGACTGGGCGCTAATCAACCTCGCTAATGAGACCAAAGGTGCGCGAAGCATCACGCCGCTCAGCAAGACGGAGGAAATGCGGCTCCAGCGCGTCCGGTATCGCTTCCAGCTCTGCTGCAATCTCTTTGGCAAAATCGCAGATAGCTCGCGGTGGTGCTTCCGAGGATTGAAATTCAAATCTGTTGATATCCTGACGACATTTCTCTGTTTGTTTGAGCCTTGGGAGATCGAGGAAATACTCTGTCTTTACACCTTCAGCAAGGAGATGTTTACACAATTATTCAAGGAAATTCTTTGGGATCTGGATGCCAATAACCCTAAGTTTGATGATTAAGGGAGGCCGCCAACTCCCACTGGGACATTCGGTTTATATGAAGATGCTTATCTATTGGGTACCATCTCTCTTGGCCTCAAGATATTGCATCGTATGTTGATAACCCGAGACCATGAGCAACGCGTGTTGGCGATGCAAGAGCACATATGCTTGCCACTCGGCAAGTTTCTGGAGATTGAAGGCACTGATGTTCTTGATGAGTGGATAAAACAGGAGCGGCGCCGGAAGCATCCTTCACATCGGGACCAAAAAGAGCTTCGGCGCGACCCGCTTCCCTTCGAAGGAGATAAGGAGCTATGTCCGCAGCTGGCCTGGACAATATTATGGCGGGGAACATATAGCAATAGATATAGAGGCTATCTGGAAGACGGGATCCGCCATTGGGGATATATTATGTGGGATGCGGTGCGACTCGGGGACACAGGTGGCAAAGAAATATTAGCACGGCTGTGGGAGGAGCGAAAGTCGGATAGTGGAGCGACCCAAGGGATAGTAGGTAATATCATCTGATTGTCCTCTTTCGGTTGAAAATATGTTTGATTATTATACAACTACCCTGTGGTAGTAGAATCTGTGGTTAACGAATAAATTATTTTGTTAATTGTATTAAAAATTTCAATAATTAATATTATATTGAAAAATGGGTTATATAGTATTAATGTAATTAATTTTTTTATATGTATATAATTAGAAAATTTTATTTTAAAGGGATTTAAATTTTTTTTCGAAATTTATTGATTTTTCGAAATTTCTTGATTTTCGAAAATTTTGGTTTAAGATTATTTATATATTAGAATTAATGTAAAGTAATGATTAATATAATATATAGGTGTAGGTCTAATAATAAGACTTTTTATTAATTCCTTCAAAACCTCTTTTTCGAAGCTATATAATATATATGTAAAAACTCTTCACTTTCGGACTAATAGTTAGCCTGATATCGATCCTATATCAATACCTATAATATTATAAATAAAAAAGTTTATTTGTATTGAATTCGATTAATAATCGATTATTAATTATAACTATATACATTTAAGTTAACTAATATTTCTATTTAAATAATATATTTTGTACTTATAGTATAATAATAAAGTTTTTGATTAAAGAATAATTTGAAGGTGAGTGGTAAGAAGTGGATCCCTTTTCTTTAAACTTTCGGCTAATATCTTTTCCCACCTTTTAATTTCTACACTTGCTTTTCTGCTCACTCCCCTTCCCCTTCTAATTCCCCTGCTCATTTCCCTCCTCCTCCTAGCTTCTATACTTACTTCTCTTTTATTCATTTTTTCTAAGAGCCTTTATTTTCTTTTAATTTTTTGAAAATATTAATAATAAACAATTCTCATTTTGAACTGAAAAGATTTGTAGTTAATGAAATATATATTTCATTAGGGATAAAAAAAGCTTGAATTGTATAATATATATATCAAATATTTATACAAGGATTTATACTAATATTTTATTTGTATATAGGTATTAACTTTGCTACTACAGGGCTACGAGTAATAGTCGAAGATTATGAGAGCTCTTTAACATTAAGTATAAACAAGTTGGAAGTCTGAATATAGGCTTAGAGTTAGAAAATAAAATTTGGAGTTTTATAATATATTCAATATGTACCGTTTTGATTAATAAAACAATATTATTTATACTACTCCAACAATATTATAGAAGCTAGTAGAATAGAATAAAGCCAATAATATATGTTGTTTCCTTCTCTTTTTACTTATCAGAACTAAAAAGAGTATACAGTGAGGAGGTTTCAAGACGATATAGCGAGAAATACATTTCTCGAAACATCAGAAAGAAAAGAAACTAAAGCAACTTCAAAGTCGGACTATAGATACGAAAGTTAGCAGAAACTTTATTATACCACCAATGACCTTTGTGTTAATGCTGGAAGGAAGGCCGGGGTTCTGGTTCTAAAACCAACTATTTAGCTGAGAAGTATATATCAAATACTACTCGCTTTCTTAATCCACACCTTCTTTTCAGTCTATTTCCTATACATTACAAATTGTTCCAAATATACAGTAATTACTCAATCTCCATAATCAATAATATCATCCAGCTTCGAATGCGAAGATATGATTCAAATAAATTAATTATCAAGAAATGCCTGCGGAATTATCTTTGTACAAAGACCACCTATATATATATACAGAGAAAAAGGACAACATAAAAGGTCTGTTTGAAGACGTCTAAGCTTGGCGAAAGCCATGTCTTAAACACCTATAGAGGTTTCAATGCTTGTATCCCGTCCTCACTAGGCGCATACGAAGCTGTCCGCAGAATTTGGGTCTCCTGATCCATTATACTTAGCCTGCAACGGATACAAGCAAAGCTTTCTGTTAACTGTGGTACCATTCTGGTTTTCGAAGCTGATTGGTAGTGTTTCTGGAACAGTTCCATTCTCGATCCAGGCTACCATGGCGTCAAAGATAGAAGTAGGCTGACCACCATTTCCACCCGAACAATGCTACAAGCCCGGGACCTTGTAAAAACGGTATAAATCATGAATATCTGGAATAACATCTGTGACGGCGTTGTAGTAATTTTCTGTGCCTTTTGGAGGAATGATTTGGTCCGCCTGCAGATATTAGTACTTGAGCTGTGAAATCAGAATAGATTGACTACTTACTAAACCATGATATGCAAGCATCTTACCACCACCGGCTTTGAACTCAGTCAAGTCGGGATCAGTGGCACCAATAATATCATCGAATCGTTGAACTGAGGTATGGAAGATGCTGTCAAATTCTTCGTGAGTCATATTTTCCAAATTGAAATCTGCGTTTCCTTTTACAAAGCACTTGATCCAATCAGCAGCAAGGCTAGGATTTGCATCAGAAATATCGGTTCTGCAAGTGCCACTGCTAGAACAGACCGTCGCTGCATCTCGTTGAGCGGTCAAATGCCCAGTCAGATCAGCTCCATAGCTTTTTCCATACCAAGTGAAAGACCCGTCAACAGTTCTCGCGCCGGTCCATGAGATGTTGGCAATGAGAGCAGCCGTCTCGCTAATTGTGATGCTTGTATTGGTCTGTGAGCAGTTCTGGATCACCGTACCCACAGCAGTAAATGGATCGTAGAAACATGCATCCATGTCAGATATCAGACCATCAACCACTCCATCAAGCCCATCGCAAGTAGAAATTGCGGCCGCTTCTAGCGCATCGAGCTCACAACCGTATGGAAACTTTCCCATAAGATTCATGATAAGTTGTGGATACCAAAGAGCTGGAATAAATTCTGCCCAATTAATTGCCGGGGCAGAGGCAACAATGCCATCGTAGACATCAGGATATCGCTGAGCTAACATGAGACCTTGGCGATCGCCCTGAGAGCAACCGCTGAAGTAAGAATATGCTGGACCGCTACCATAAAAACTCTGGATCAGACTCTTGGCAATAACCGCTTCATCATACAAGGAAACAGAGCCTAGATCTTGGAGTAAATAAAGGTTGGAATTACCAGGGCTTACAAGTCCCCAGTTCGTCGGGTCCGATGCGGATCCTAGACCAGCGTCGGTAGTCACAGTGGCGTAACCTTCCCCAATTGCACCAGCCATTGTTTGGTATGAGAGAACAAATCTCCCAGCGACCCATCCGCCACCGACAGTTGCTTGTAGGCGACCATTGTATGTTTCGTTCGATGGAAGCCACGTTTCAACAATCACGCTGTCATTTTATCCAGGGTGCGTATAGGTGGTGGTGACATTACAGAATGTAGCGTTTGAGACTTTGATTGTTGGGTGGTTATAGTTATATGTAGATGTAGATGTAGAGTTATAACCAGTTATCAGATTGGCAGAGAGATTAAGAATTTCTAAACCGGAAACTGATGGCGTGAAGGTTGCAGGAATACAGAGAGATGCTGACATGTTGACAGTAGAAAGGAATGAGAAGTGGTTTCCAAGTGATCCAGAACAAAAGTGATGAGATGGAGAGTCACTTTCGTTGTGAAGGCGACACTTACATTATATATCTTTGAGACCATTAGTGTGGAGTCGATATTTGAAGTTCTTTGTTAAAATATTCAAAACATCTATTCTACTAACGTAAGTAAGGCAGGAATAAAGTAGTGCATGATAGTACGAAAGGTCTGTGCTAATAACGAGTCAGAATACATAAATACGAGAATACGCGTACTCACGAACCCATAAAAAGGATATTTCAAGGATTCTGGAATTGCTCTTAGCGTTTAATATAGGAGTTGCTACTTGTATACATGATAACAATGATAATAACAGGCATTAATCGTGCGACTATAAAACTTGAATATAATTTCGTTCAAATGAAAAGGATACTAATTTAGAAGTTTCCTTTAATACAGCGAGGTTTAATTAATAATACAAGCTTGAAGCGCAAGATGTTATTGTTATTGTATTTTTACTAAGTAGTACTCTACTGAGGCCGATTTGAATCATTTGGCCAAAACCCCAAAAATAGATTTTAGCTTAATGAAAAAAGAAATTTTAGAATCTATATAGTGTATTTATAGAAATCTTATAAAAACAAATAAATTCAATCTTATTAAAGATTTTTTGTAAAATGAATTATACTATTAAATAGCCCTTAGGGTTAGCTTTATTCGTATATTTTTAGAATCTATTTCGAAATTTTCTATAAGAAGTGTACTAATATTTAAAATCTGATGTATAACTATTTTCAAATAGTTTTCTTTGTAATGTATAGACTATTTTAGAATAAGCGAGATAAGCTTAGTAAGAGCTTCTTATCTCAAGTTTAAGCATAAGCTTATTTTGCTTAAGCTGTATGACTAATCAAGCTTCAATTAATCTTTTCAATAATATAGAATTTCTTAAATTTGGTATACAATTTTAAAGAAATTTATAAAATAGAAATAAAATAGATTTGATTATTAATTAGAATTTAAGGAATCGATTAATGTATTTCTTTTTCAATTATTTTAGAAACTGAAATTTATATTCAATTCTAATTACTTTTATTATATTTTATATTAATATCTTATATATTAGGCTTGATAACTAATCAATCCTTGAATAATATTATCATTATTAAATAGAATCTTTTAAATTAGTACACAACCTTAAAGAAATCGATAAAATAAAAAGGAAAGAGATCTTTTTATTAATTAGAATTTAAGGAATCGATCAGTATATTTTTTTTTGAATTATCTCAAAAACTGAAATTTATATTCAATATAATAATATTTGAAGAATAAAAAATTGGATTCTGAAAATTGATTATTATTCAAATTTATTCGAATACTTTTAAATTGAATATAAAATTCAATTTTTGAAATAATTCAGAAAGAAACACATCAATCGATTCCTTGAATTCTAATTAATAATTCTACTTCTTTTGTTTTCATTTTATAAATTCCTTTAAGGTTGTGTACTGAATTGAATACTTGTTTCTGTATAAAAGCACACTACTAAATTCTAAATACATTTTTAGCTTAAGCGAAAATCTATTTTTGGGGTTTTGGCCAAATGATTCAAATCGGCCTCAGTAACTCGCGCTTTGACGATAAGTAACTTGACCGATGATTGTATATTGGGCTGAGAGGCCGAAAGAGTCATAGAAGTGATGATGGGGTTTCCGATAAATAAGTCCGGTTCTACCGATATAAAATTATATGTCTTTGAGGTTGAGCCATTACTTTGAGATCTCGAAATGAGTGAAAAGAATTTCACTGATATCATTGTGGTATGGAATTTGAAATGAGATGATAACAAGATGTAAATATGAAATCATGAGATTCCCCTTGATTTAATACATCATTACACCTCCAACTTGTAAAAGATGTGACGGATTGACTTTCACTTGAGATAATATATAGATCTGTATCTTCTTACTGGCTTGTTTGATTCCCTGATATAATTCCGGTAAGATCCATTTACGGCGCCACATATGGCCAATTGTTGCAAATTGATACAGAAACATATAATTCAGAATGATATTATTTTCTTGATTGATGTTTTCAAAAAAATACTAAGCTACAAAAGAAGTGCTCTATTCCAGCTTTATTTCGATCCAGCAACAAGCGGCTCGCCACCAACCTGCAGCTCCAAACCCTCCCAGTCCTTAGCTTTTGATGCTAAATTGCCTGGGTATCTGAAGAAGAAGAAGACTGTAACAAGAAACATTGGCACAGTATCAAAGATATATAACGTCCACTCTGAAGAAAGAGCGGTTTTACCAAGAGAGTACTCCACAAGGCGGAAGACTGATCGTATGAAGATGAGTAGACTGAGGCAATATAGCATATAAAGACTCTGCAACCAGTTCACATCGTTTGCGCATGACCTTGCCGTAGGATATCGACGTATTCTTTTGTGGAAGATGATGGCTGAAAGGGCAAATAGGCTGAAACAAACAACCTGTATTGCAAGACCACCAATAATCATTGCTTTAGTGATTTTCGCCCACAAAGGATAGGTTTGAGACAGGATAGAGGGATATGCCGAGCCCCCTTGAAGCATGAAAGAGATCAAGTCACCGGTGACAAAAACTGCAGTCATTTTGCGAGGGTTGACAATCGAGTACTCCTCCCCACCGACAAGGCGAATAAGTCGTCCCAAACACATATAAGTGGTCGCAGCGAAAAGTGTTGGTGCCACAAGAATGAACATATTCTGAATGACGTAGGGACCAATCCTATCGGTATGGTTGGCAGCTGCTGCGCGAGCACAGTAGCCAACGAATTCCACTTTTCAAAGATAAGTATATTATAGAGAAAGCAGGGTGCATCTGTTCTTACTTAGGCATCCGGCAATGAAGTAGCCACAGAACCAGCTGCGTGTCTTGTACATCCGCCAGCTAAGGAGGATCATCATCACGGCGAAGAGGAGGGCGAAGATGGAAGCGGCTGCGATGTTTGGTACATATAGCCACAGATAGTAGTCACCATGAATTGGAAGAAGCTTCCCCATACTGGGCGAGAATCTAAAATGTCGGAGAGCTAAATCCTCTTGATTGTAAGGAAGGTTGGTCTGTGAATCTCGATTAAACAAAATGAAGTAGATTTGATGTAGTTTTTAAAAATAGTATGTTAACAATGGAGATGGCGAAGAGAGGGAGATAGATATCAAATAGGAAAAAATCATATCTTTCATTCTATATGTATGTTAAAACGTATGTATAATGATACGCTGTAAGTCATCTCGTTATAGTTATACTAAAGAGCTAATGTATGAAATCATTAGTCTATTTTTGTTTCATTCTATCACCTTATCGGCAAGGGGACTGAACTCCTATAGGTATATTTTATCAATAGGGCTTCCTAAATACATCAAAAACCCATATATATATTCTAGATTCTCTTAGTAAATAACCCCTGTCGCTTCATGATATACATACCGGAATTCAATACGCGTATTCCCTACCCTTGTTCACGTTAGTCGATACTCAAAGTTTCGAAGGCTGTGGAGCGATACTCTAAACACGCGTATTCGCTTGTATACAAGTGCAAGCAGGCTCGCAGGCTCTTCGGGAAAGAAAAAAGCGATCGCAAGTAAGTATCGTGAACATCATCAAAATAATATACTAAAGATTATTAAGGGGATCTATATACTACATCTCCCTTTTACTATATTTAATACAACATCCAGTCTTTTAATAGAATTATATAACATAATAATCTTAACAACTGTTTCTATAATACTTTATAAAAGAATACAAAATAAGATTATCTACTTTTATTAAAAATCCTAAAATGATTTAACCTTTATTAATAATACATTCTTGCTTCTCTTATAGTCTTATAAATATATTAAATAGAGTTATTAAACAGTTATTCTAAATCTATATTATTTTCTTTAAGCTTTTTATTTAAGATTATAATCATAAAGGAATTACAAAGAGTATTTATATAGAGAGATTATTTTATTAAATAAAGAGAAGTTTTAATAAAGAAAAATTAATATATCATTTGAGAAAACTATAATTGAGATATAAAGAAATAAAATTTAAAACTAGAAGAATTAGATATTTTAATATAGATTGTTTTATTGAAGGAAAATATTTTAATAGAAAAATATTTGATTAGGGACAAATTATTTTATTAAGAAGATATTTTATTAGGAAAATATTTTATTATGAAAATATTCCAAAATTCAAGTTACGTACCAGGCATAGCGACAAAGTCTGCTCGAGCATCAATGGTTTGCTCCGCGAGTTCGTTTGTAGCCTTAGGAGTAATAGTCGAGCATTCATGGAAAAGCTTCCCTTTTAAATGGATATTGGATTTGAGGACAACGTTAAAACATTCAAGAACAGCCTTTTGACCTGAAAAACAGGACCAAATGATATCAGATTTCGTAACAGCATCTTGAATGCTGGAAGCTACGGTTGAATGACCGATATTAATGCTATGAGAACGCGCTTTTGACTCCGTTCGGTTCTAGAGAATAATCGGTCTGCTCAGATTTCCATTTTTGACGAGATACTTGGCCATTGCCTGTGAAGGTTTGTTCTTATAAGTCAAGTGATCTGCAATCATCATCGGAAGAAAAGGATTCAAATGTATCTGGACTTACTTGTCCCATAGAACCCATTCCAAGATATACCAGTTGTGGATCCAGGGGAGATTCAATTGCCTGTTATAAAAGTTATTCTTTGAATCCCTATCTCGGAAAATCACAAGAAGCGCAGCATACCTACTTAACTTCACTTTCATTCTCCTTTCCGGAGTTCTTCATAGCGGAAACTCATAGTGGATCCAACTCACTCTCCTCCAAAAACAGCGTCGGATTTATACCTTTCGTCTTTTCCGCCATAGTAAATCCACTTCCCAAGTATGTAAACGGATTATCATATTTGTACTCAATATGGTAGTCTTCGAATTTTGGGGCGATAATAGCTTCAGTACAGTGCAAGACGCTGCCACACCATAGAGAATTTAGACGACTTGTTCTCTTGTTCTTGAACCAACTAGGACAATTGTCTGTTCAAATAGTTCTTTCTAGCCACTTTTGACAATGCTCGTTGAAAGCAGCGGTATCATCCTCGCGTGGTGTGAGGGATTTGATTTGCTCACGTTGCATTTTGTGGATGCATTGCACGATGTAATTCCCAACTTGGACGGGGGGTCCCATTACAGAGCCATTGTGAACAGGCCACGCGGGGCCCATAAAGAGATAGAAATTGGGCTCTTAATGAATTTTAGAAGAATTCCCAGATGTAAGTGATCCAGGATGATATGATGACCCACGTTTGGGACTGTAATACCGTAGTAAGCGTCAGGCTCATCGTTCCATTGATCCTGCATATTGATTCCACCTTTTCCAACAATTGGAAAGCGTGGTCGATAACTTGTATCAAATCCTGAAATTCATCAGGAATCGTGAATTATTGGTTTTGGAACCAGCAACACTTACCAGTGGCACAAACAACAGTGTCAACCTCTCGTTCCACCCCATCCTCGCCAACGACACAATTATCCGTGAGAGCTTTGGCAGCAGTAAAGTGGACGTTTACATTATCCTCTTGAATCGCCTTCATATATGGATCTCAAGGTGTAATACGTCGACAGCCGACTCCCCATGGTGGCAAGAAACCTTCCATATCATTTCAGTTTGATTTCAAATCACATACTGCACAATACTATCCGCGGGATGACTCACCTTTATATGAACGCCCATCTTTAATATGTTCGCGCATACGACCCCCAAAGATCTTTCTGCCCTCCAATTGCGACTTGGAATTGATGGTCATCATATCCACGGCCTATGCCATCTCTTTTTCAAGGGATTTGGCATGGGCAACAAGTGCTTCAGGATCTTCTCTAAATCTCTTCCTATCTTTTTCTGAGTCTGGAGTGTGTGAGTAATGTATAACAGTCTGTTCCAGCCAATGTATATCTTACATTCATGATACATGCCAAAATTATCCACGATCGCGGCGAAACACGCTCCTGTAAGGATGAAACAACCGAGACTTCTTGCATATGGCTATAATAAAATTAATATTCTGTATCCGAGAAGCGATAAAAACAGTTGCTTGCCTGTAGTGCTGTCACAGTTTGGAAGCTACTAGCACCTGATCCTAATACGGCGATTTTGTCCTTGGCCCATTGGTTTTTCTGATAGTCTTCTGGCCAATTGGAGGTATCTATAAGTTGCAATTATGAGTCTTGTGACATATATGGTAATCTGGAGATATTCTACCTTGCCTTTGAATTCTTTCAACCCATCGATCTCCGGCCACGTGGTAGACTAGTCCATGGGATCCACCAAGATCCACCAAGATCCACCATTTTCGCTGTACCGAGTGAAGCCCAGTGATTCCCCTCCACCACAAAGGATGTTTCTAGGCTGGGACTGGCGTGAAAGAAGCCCATACCATCTGCGAATTCGCGCGCTCTCCTTGGGCTCTTTTGAATCTCTACATAGAAGGGATCTGAAGTGTTTTTTGCTAGATTGAAACCCGTGTGGGTTGGCTCTTCTGTTCCAGGCCATTTTTCCATGGCGTCTACCACACGCGAGACTGCTGGCCACATTTTTGAACAAGCTTGGCTTATTCATGCCTCTACGTTTGGCTTCTCGGCAATAAATTGAGAAAGTGATGTATGAGCTACAACGGATGGCCGTGGTTCGCAAAAGATACGACTAGTCATTGCATAACGAAGGACACGACGTAGATCTTTCTCGGGAATTCTACAAGTCTTAACCAACTCTTCGTATATTTGTTCCTCCTCGATAGGTAGTTTGGTGGCGACTTGGAATCGTGCAATGGCTTGTAAACTGATCAAGAAGTGATTAGACTAACAGCGACCGGTACCGGTAGAGAACGCACATACCGTTTGGATAACTTCTTGGTGTAAAAATCCCAGAGGCCCCAGCATTAAAGCTCTGAGCTCATCCATAGCCTCCAATACATGGTCCCTAACTATTATTCTAAGGATTTTTTTGGTGGTCAGCACTGGTGGTGACCACTACCCTAAGGGGGGTGGTGACCCTTCCAAAAACTCTCCAATTGGTCACTACCTCTTCTGGCTTCAATTTTAGGCTTTTTAAAAATCTGAAAATAGGAATCGATAGAGATTTAATTGAATTTCTTATATATAAAATTACTTTTTCGATATCTCCTTAATTGATAATTTAGTATTGAATTGAAATAATTCTAAATTTGATGAGGTCGAACCCTAAGCTATAGTAATCTTTGAAAGCAGGGGTAGTGATGATCACCAAAAGGAATCAATTTGGTCATCACCCTAAATCCAATTTAGAATAGGAAATTTATATTTATTTTATAATAAATTAGGGCTTATTTTTACTTATTTATTTATTTCTGAAAGCAGATTTAAATTATCTCTTAAATTGATTAATCTATACTAGTTTTATAAAAGGTTGAATTTGTAGGAGCAGGGAGCCAAAAAGAGGTATGGGGTAATTGAATTATATAATCAATTCTAATAATATGAATAAGAATATAAATAAGAATAAAAATCAGAATAATAATAATAAAATTGAAAAAAACTATGTTTCAGAATCCTGATCTTAAAGGGGTTTTTTGAGTGGTTTTAAATTTGAATAATATGAACTTTCAAATTCTGATATAATATATATATATTATAATAAGGTTGCCTGTTAAGGTTCTAAGGATTTTTTTAGTGGTTAGTATTAGTGGTGATTATTACCTTAAAGGGGGTGGTAACCCTTCTAAAAAGTCACTATTTGGTTATTACTTCTTCACACTCCAATTTTGGACTTTTCGAAAATCTGAAAAAAAGATTCGATAGAAATTCAATTGAATTATTTATATCTGATCTTACTTTTTCAATATTCTTTATATTAATTGATTTGTATAATTAACCCTAATTATTATTCTAAGGATTTTTTTGGTGGTCAGTATTGGTGGTGACTATTATTCTAAGGGGGATGGTGACTCTTCTAAAAAGTTATTATTTGGTTATTATTCCTTCATACTCTAATTTTGGGCTTTTCAAAAATCTGAAAAAAGTGTTTAATAAAGATTCAATTGAATTATTTATATTTGATTTTACTTTTTCGATATTCTTTATATTGATTGATTTGTATAGTTAACCCTAAAGCTTAGAGTTGGAGAGGTTGAATGGAAGTTATGGTAATTTTCGAAAACAGGATAGTGGTGATTTACGAAATAAGGGAATTTGGTTATCACTTCAAATTCAATATATAATAGAAAATTGATAAATATTTTATAGAAAGCTAGAATTTATTTTAATGAATTTATCAAATTCTGAAAATAGATTTTAATTATCTTTTAAATTGATCGATTTGTATTAATTCTAAAAAGGTTTTAATATATAGGTGATGAGAGTGGTGGTGATCACCAAAAAGTGATGTGGGGTAACTGAATCATATGATTATAATGTCGATAATACTAAAATACTAATAAGAATACTATCTAATATTAATTTATTATTAATCTAAATATTAATAAGAATATTAATACGAATACTAATCAAAATACTAATTTAAAAAAAAATCTAAATATCCAAATACCAATAAGAATATCATTTAGAATATTAATCTAAATACTAATAGAAATCTGGGTTAGGGTTAGGGTTAGGGTTAGGGTTAGGGTTAGGGTTAGGGTTAGGGTTAGGGTTAGGGTTAGGGTTAGGGTTAGGGTTAGGGTTAGGGTTAGGGTTAGGGTTAGGGTTAGGG